ATCAGCATTGCGAGTCTCATGATTCTATACGTATTGCGATTCGATACTGTGATTTTATTGCGCACCATATGTCTGTTGCAGAGGGATCAGAAAGCCATGAGAACGAGTTTTGATCAGTCATGGAAATAAAAGTGCTGAAAACAAATTGGCTCCCAATGTGAAAAGATTGAGAACAAGCTATGAAGGAACAATAATGGTGTTTTGGTGCAGGTACAGCCAACTAGCGCTAAAATATTGCGATATTGTCAATACAGTATATCGTAAAGTATCACTATGTAACTCGATTTCTTTCACCCCAATCCCTCAAATTAACGGTAAATAACTGAATTGTTTGCCCCACATTTAGCTAAGATGATTAGCTAGCCAGCTAAAATGTTTTATTTAGTTAGCAGTCGCATCTACAATAGTTTACTGTCAATAACATGTCTCCAAAAATGACGTGGTGTCTCCAATTGTGTTGACATTTTACAATTGCAATGCGCATCCATGAGTATCCACTTTCTGTAGCTCAGCTGGTAGAGCATGGTGCTTGTAACGCCAAGGTAGTGGGTTCGATCCCCGGGACCACCCATACACAAAAATGTATGCACGCATGACTGTAAGTCGCTTTGGATAAAAGCGTCTGCTAAATGGCATATTATTATTATTATTATTATTATTATTATTATTATTATCTGAAGAGAGCCCCGAAACATTGTGTGCAGACATTTTATGCAATAAATGAAGTAGGTTCAATCTAGTAGTTCTGATCTTCTGATTGGTCCTGATGAGTTGGGCGAGGTCCCCTCCAGGCTACTGTCACTGTTGCATTGGCTCTGAGTCGGGTTCTCTGTCTTCAAATGTTCAGCCTAAGAGAGGGGATTTTTGTGTGTGTGTGTGTGTGTGTGTGTGTGTGTTTAACAGTGATGATGTGTGTGTGTGTGTGTGTGTGTTTAACAGTGATGATGTGTGTGTGTGTGTGTTTGTGTGTGTGTGTGTCCTCAGAGCAAGAACTCGTGAGTTGGAAGAACTGAGAGGCCTATGGCGTGGGTGTTGTCCTTGGCCACCTGCTGACAAGGCTGACAAGATAGGACCCTTTTGTCCATTGTTATTGGATAGGAACAGAACTTATAACCAGCTCCTGACCTAAATAGATCTTAGCACAACATTTTACTCAACATATCATATTCCATATTCACTATAACAAATATATTTACTACGACATTAGCAAGAACCGCCACATCCTCAGCCGGCTAATCCAGTGTGTGAAGTTTTGCGGAGTGTTTGAGTTAGCTTTGCGAGGCAAAGATGAAACTGAGGGCTCCACCAACCCTGGTAAGCCAACACTTTTGAGATCAGTCAATAAATGCTTCTGGTATTGACTTATATGCTGCCCCTGTCTTCATGTTGTTGCTGGACATATCTTTTTTTAAATGTGTGTAGGTCACCTAAATCATCAGAAAAATTGCCCCTCCTGAGAATTTTTTCAGGAGCCGCCACTGCTCCATATACTTTTGATAAAATAGAAGTGTGTGGTTTGATCATGTGACCCTGTGCACATATAGAACTTCTAATGCAGATGCACACTTGTATATCATGTACAAGGGAGTTTGCTTTCTCCTCACATCCCTTGACTGCTTTGAGAGAGTTAGAAATGGAGGAGAAATAAGAGGTAGGATAAGGTTTTTATTATGGCTAGTCCAGTGGAGAATGCTGATGGCAGGAAGGCTCTTAATAATGTCTGGAATGGAGGATTTGGAATGGCATCAAACACATCAAAGACGTGGTTTCCATGTGGTTGATACCATTCCATTGACTCCATTCCAGACATTATTTTGAGCCGTCCTTCCCTCAGCAGCCTCCACTGGGCTAGTCAGTCCCTCATGACATTTTCCCCATACAATAACAGGACACACTTATTCCCATCCCGCATCCTTTCATCTCCAGAATAACTAGTAATAAACACTACCCAGGATATGTGTCTAATCAACCTCAAGGGAATCAAAACAAGGGAAATACATCAACATCACATATACTGCTTACTTTCACAACAAATGTTAACAGGTCCAGAATACATGCAATATGTCCTGAGTCTAAATGATACAGTCCTGATCCGTTTTTGTTAAGGCGCCCTCATGTGACGTAAAATGGAACAGGCTTCGGCACACCAACATCACAGCAGACCTAATTTCAAATACTATTTGAAATTTTTCTAAAGCTTTGAGCCTGCCTGGAGTGCCAGGTGAGCAGGGTTTTCACTTTTAAGACTTTTCTATTGTTCCATTGCAACAGGCAATATCAATCAAGCACAGCTAAAGTATTTGAAATTATTTTAAATAATATTTGTACACAGGTTTGCATCACAGTAAGGCTGTGATGGACACAGTGGCAGTCTTTCACAGTATCCAATGTGAGTAGTGGTTGATGTTTATAATGGTGATTTCCATAAGTAGGACAGATGTCCCAAGGTTCCGTAAACAGGAAACAGATACACTGTATTCTGGCTTCCTCTCAGAGCGACAGGGTTGACACTTACCCCTGTCTGAGCCCTAAAAATACCTGACTTCAGGAAGTTAGGACATTGTGCTACTACACTGCATTCCACTGTCCTGACATCATTGTATATGTTTATTTACAAATATGCTAGGTGGGCATCTGAAGTTAATTACCACAATTAAATGGTGTTGGGGAGAGTCACATTGGTTTTTGGACACAAATGCTAAAAAGTTAGCATTTGGAGACAGTGGCCAGTTAAACAAAACCAAAGCATGGGTTGCAGTCATACCTTTTTCATAGACTGCTTACAGGGTAAGGAAACCATATGTAAAACATTTATTTGGGTGAACTATTCCTTTAATGTAGGCTAGAAGTTCTTATCACCCAGTGATGATGATAGGCTTTGAGTTGAGCAATGATCACTCGCTTGTTTAAGGCATGGTGTGTTATCAACAATGAAAGTAAAAAATACCGCATTAGATAAGGACCCCATCAAATTCAAGAAACATTGATTTCGAAGGCAATAATTTGAAGACAAATCCAGAATATTTATATTTATAGTTATTTATATTCATAGTTGCTCATGGGTGATTTCAACAATTGAAATATACCCCCTGATGTTTGCAGAAAATTATTTAAAGAGGCAATCTGCGATTGCTACATACTTTTTTGTTTTACTTTTAAATTAATTATAAATACCCATTGATTCTTAAAGAATATAACTTATAGATGCCAAATGAGCTTAGTTCTACTGTCGCAGCCCATCAGAACCCAACATTTACCTGGCTAAAACTATAATTTTGATATCATGGATGGTCAGTCCTTGTATCCATAGCGCTGTCCATGATTTGAGAGGGGTTACATTTCTCCAGTCCCATCCGGCAGCTGTTTACCAGAACAGTAGCGGGGTGTCCACGTTGCAATTTGTTAACTGCATATTGCCCCTTTAATGCCTTAACGAGTTTATTACAACTGTCTTACCACATCATAACAAACAAATTAAGGACTTACATTTTTAGCTTCAACTGATGTAAAAAAAAAAGTTTAAAAAAAAGAAGCTATTCTATTATATTTGATTATCCTCAGCTCTATTCTGCTCAGATCTAGCCTATTCTATTCTTTGCTCAGCTCTATTCTGCTTAGCTCTTCTATTATGCTCAGATATAGGCCTATTCGATTCTAGCGTTTTCGTTCAATATTAAGTGTTGGCATTTTCATAACTGTTTCAAAGGACAAAGATTTATAATGCGAGTAAGAGTTGATAGGTATTTTATTATATTCTGCTCAGATCAATTCTATTGTAGAGCATTGTATCATTTTTTCCCACCAAAACCTTCACTATCTCGACAATAGGAGATTTGTCCTGGGGGTTTCAGCACACTATTCTGGAGGACGAGACTACTCTGCACTCAATAGGCTACATATCTACCACGAAAGTTTCTGAAGAGGAAGGCTAGACTTTTACCAGTAGACAATTGGGTAAAAAGCTGTCAATCTGTTACCGCCCCAAAATTCCGGAATTACGAGATGGGACAACGCATTCTATATCTCGACTAAAAAGACAAAGGATAAACAGCATCATTTGCCAGGTATAGTCGCAATGCAATTTAAAACAAAAACAAATCAGAAGTTAACCGGCTCTGATGTGACCACTTTGGGGCGCTGTCGACAGATAGATTCCATATGGACAGGGTCGTGTTGACTTGCGGTATACGACCTAGGGACAGGAATGGGGTTGATCACTTGTGGGTGGACTGTAGAAGTGGGGGAGGGGTTGATAACTTATTAAATGGTTATTAAATATGTATAGCAAATAGGCTTTATGTCAACCAACCATCTGTAGGCCTATTCCTAGTAGGGAATAGTATCATGTTGTTACATTGTTGCGGGGTAGCCAACCTGGACTCCGCGGTCGACAGGGCAGGCTGGGTTAGCCTATAGGCCTAATGGTCAACTCTGTTGCAGAGAAAGATGAGAAAACGAAAGTCTGTTTTGAAAGCTATTGCCTGCTACATTTGTCACAGAATTATTGATGTTATTGATTCCTTTTATTTTCACTCATTGTTCAGTTGTAGGCTAACAAATAAGAAATTATTATATAAATCAGGTTTTAGTAAGTAGCCCAGGCTTTTAATGCTTCCTAACTAGGAGTGGCTATTCCCTGTGGATTTAGATTAAAACTGATCACAGCAGCATGCAAACTAGAGTGGATATATATTTGGATTAATATGGGTTTCACGGGTGATTGTGTGACAGGTTGCCATTATGATAAAAGTCCAGATTCTGGGATACATCTGTTGTTTTTTGTCTTATAGATTTCCATTTTTCAACTGGCAGACGGGTCCCATTGTCCTTGAGAGCGGTAGCCCCCCCCCCCCCCCCCCCCCCCCCCATACCCTCATCCTCCTCTTCCCAGCTGTCACTTGAACCTTCTTTTCTCTCTGTCCCCCCACTTTCAGCGCTCCCGACCCTCAATGTCCCCAACAACCCCAACCCCAAAACCCCCTCACGCACACACAGCCCCGATGGCAGGGCGCCCATCCCGACCCAGTGGCCAACCCCAGTCCAGTAAGGTGAGCCAGTTTAAATTGGTTCTACTGGGGGAGACATCAGTGGGGAAGTCCAGCCTGCTTCTGCAGTTTGTCAAAGGCCAGTACCAGGACTTTGGGGAGAGCACCATTGGGGGTAGAGTACCAACCACACACCAGAATACTCTCCTCTGTAGATCAATAGAACTTCTTCTTCAGGTCATTTTTTCCCAGACGCTTACATCTGGTCATCTGACCTCCTCCTTTCTGTTGTTTGTCCATATGATAACCTTTTCCACAGAGACTTGTTCACATTTTGCACACTTTTCCTCTCTATCATTCTTTTCTATCTGACCCACAAGGTTTTATTTTTTTCCTCAATCTACGTACCCGTCAACTCCTCCTCTCATTACTATTTTGTAGGCTAAAGCATCTCCCATGTTCTCTTCTCTCAGCTGCCTTTCTGACTCAGATGGTGAGTGTGGACAGTGCCATGGTGAAGTTTGAGATCTGGGACACGGCTGGTCAGGAGCGCTACCACAGCCTGGCACCCATGTACTACAGAGGAGCTCAGGCAGCCATAGTGGTCTATGACATCACCAACACAGTATGAACATCTTAGATTATAACATATCCCTCTCCTTTATCAAATGCTCCGTCTCCCCCTTTATCTAACTCTCTCTCTCTTTCATCCCCATTTCTCCTTCCTGCATAATGACTCCTATCTTTTCCCTGTTAATTTCCCCATCTCTTCACTTTTCCTCTCACTTTTTCCACTCATATGTAGTGAAGTCATTCACCAACAATGCTTAGCGTCTGTTAATAATTCTCGCCAGAAATTTCGCAGATATTCTGCATTTACACTATACCACTTCTGCAGAAGTTTGAGCCAGATGTTTGAGAAGGACATGCATTTCAGTCTAGTACATTTTCCCTGTTCCTTCTGGCCATATCTCATCTTTATTTTCTACTCTGGATAGGAGACCTTTGTACGAGCCAAAGCCTGGGTGAGCGAGCTCCAGAAACAAGCCAGTACAAACATGGTGATAGCCTTAGCGGGCAACAAGGCCGATTGGTCTGCTAACAGAGCGGTGGAGTATACGGTAGGCTCCTGTGTGTATACCTCACACCCAAGATAGCCAGATGCTTGCGCAGTGATGTGTGTGTAGCAGGTCTACATGTATGTGGTGTTTTTTCAGGATGGTCAGGGTTATGCTGCTGACAACAGTCTTCTCTTCATGGAGACCTCTGCCAAGACAGCCATGAATGTCAACAACCTCTTCCTGGCCATAGGTGAGTCACATCTGACATGCCATCATCCAAATTCATAGGGTTGAAATGGGCTGTTGGAGATGACACTGTGACTTTCTTTCTCGAGGGCTTCCATATTTAATGTTATGTACTCAATGTTATCAGTCAAAACTAATCAAAACATAATTCCTAACAGAGCATTTGTTTTTGCTATGAATAGTTTACTCCTCACCATGACACCTCTAAGGGTTTGTCCCTCTGTGTCCACAAGAGGGTGATAAAACCTCACTGTACACACAAATATGAACAGCGATCACCTTGTTTATACCGTTGCCATCTCAACTATAAGCAACACATACTATAATTGTTCTATGTGGTCCTCTATGTTGATATACAGTACCATGATTTGTTGTCTCTCTTTTTTCTAGCCAAGAAACTGCCCAAGAGTGAGCCACTGGGTGGAGTAGCTGGTAGTGCTGGGGTTCGAGGAGGACCTCCAGTGGACCTCAGACAGCCTACCCAGACCAGCCCAGCCCAGTGCTGTGGAAACTGAGGAGGGATGGGGGAGAACAGGAGAAGCAAGCTCACATCTGAGGGAGGAGGGAAGGCTAAAGAGATTTTCCAGAGAAAAGAAGGGAGAGTGAAAGAGAGATAGAAGTGTAGCATGCAAATGAGTTAAAGGAATGATAAGGGACAAATTCACTGAGTGGACAAAACATTAGGAACACCTTCCTAATATTGAGTTGCTCCCCCTCTCCTCGACTCCAATGCTTCCCACAGTTGTGTCAAGTTGGCTGGATGTCCTTTGGGTGGTGGACCATTCTTGATACACACGAGAAACTGTTGAGCGTGAAAAACCCAGCAGTGTTGCAGTTCTTGACACAAACTGGTGCGCCTGGCACCTACTACCATAGCCCTGTTCAAAGTCACTTAAATATTTTGTCTTGCCCATTCACCCTATGAATGGTAAACATACACAATCCATGTCTCAATTGTCTCAAGGCTTGAAAATCCTTCTTTAACCTGTCCCCTCCCCTTCATCTACACTGATTGAAGTGGATTTAATAAGTGACATCAATAAGGGATCATAGCGTTCACCTGGATTCAACTGGTCAATCTATGTCATGGAAAGAGCAGGTATTCTTAATGTTTTGTATACTCAGTGTATATAGAGCAATGGGAAGAAAACAAACACTAGAATAAGATGAACTTCTATTAAAGTTATCACTTTCCAACATGTTTTTGTTAACTCGGCACTACTGGACAGCCACTGACCCAGCCAGATAAAATACAATAATGGTCTGTATGAGATCTTTATGCTCTTTAGTCTTAGCTATTATCATAACACTCCTCTAACCTTTCCACATTTTAGTTTATTTGATATTATGAGAATAATTCTGAGTCAGATGTCATAAGAATGGAGGGATTATATTGTATTTTATTTCGATTGAGCTCCAAGGCTGACTTGAAAGTGATAATGGAGGCTTCATTTACCAATCAGTTTCATATTCATTGATAATCACTTCAAAATGTCAGCTGAATTCAGTAACAATATCTTTGTTTCTGAGGTCAATGTGAACTATTTATACCAGGGTATGTTTTGGGCATAGTGTCATGACCCTTTGACTTTTGGGGGTGAAGTTAGAGAAGTAAGTGAAATGAACGGGTAGACGTGCAGCTGTGGGAAGGGTGGAAGAACACCTTGTATGGGTCGGAAAAGGAGGGGTGACCGGCGGTTCCAAGCTCAAAGACAGACAAATAAGTACCTTTAAAGGGATTTTTACACTCAGCAGTTCTCCCAGTAGGCTAGAAACTAAGGCCAATTGAACACATGCTGTGGTGTGGGGTCATGAAGTTCTTGGCAAACGCTGCCAATCTGAGGACACATAAACAGGAAGTGACATCACATTGATCTTTCAGGCGATGTGGTCACACTGGGACAAAGGGATTAAAACAGAGGTGGAGGCCAAATGTCTGTTTGCACAAAGCACACAGATTGTTTCTCTGAGAACACATGGTCAAAGCTCCCAGCAGTCCCTCCTATGATCGCATATCAATTCGCTTTTATCCATGTTCATTTGCCTCTCTATTATCTTAGTTGGACATTTATTCTATTACCAGCTCTGCTTTAGTTTCTGAGTCTCTCACCAGTACTATGTAGTCCCTAAAAGAGGAAGTGACATCAAATTTAAAGGATTTTTCCTTTACTCTCCTTTACTAAATGTGCAATACTAAGGTGTTCTCATTTGGCCTATACTATAGGAAAGTTGTATATGTTGCAGTTAAAATGGAATGTATAGAACCATGTACAGTACAGGTAACCCTAAGGTTACAGACTGTTCACCGGTGATGGTTGAAAAAAAATGTTGGCCAATTGCATAGAGATCGTGTTAAAAACAGAGGAACTAAGACAATGAGAAGATCATTTCTTGTGGTTTGACAAAATCAATGTCCAAAATCTGATTTTAATTACCACAGACACATTGCTTACTGCAAATATTACTGTGCTATAGTTTCATATAATTCCCTGGCTGTGTATTGTTTTATAAACACAAAGTATATATTTGTCTAATGGTGTTCCAATATAGCATCATAATAGGCACTATATGCCCACTGGATCTCATTTCAAGTCTTGTATTATCAAGCTTTTTATCACAATGTGTATTGCCCATGTATGTGTATCCTATATCGCAGTCCAAATGTCTTGTTTTAAAATGTTTACAAATAAGTGCCTCTCTTTTTTATCTTTAATTGGTTGTTGGTCTATTCATGTGCAGTTTGATCATACATCATTGGTTGTTGGTCTATTCATGTGCAGTTTGATCATACATCATTGGTTGTTGGTCTATTCATGTGCAGTTTGATCATACATCATTGGTTGTTGGTCTATTCATGTGCAGTTTGATCATACATCATTGGTTGTTGGTCTATTCATGTGCAGTTTGATCATACATCATTGGTTGTTGGTCTATTCATGTGCAGTTTGATCATACATCATTGGTTGTTGGTCTATTCATGTGCAGTTTGATCATACATCATTGGTTGTTGGTCTATTCATGTGCAGTTTGATCATACATCATTGGTTGTTGGTCTATTCATGTGCAGTTTGATCATACATCATTGATGTGATAAGATAACATGTTGTAAGATGAAATAGAGAAATGTGGAGGTGTATCAAATATTTATTCTTTAAAATAATCAAATTCATTCAAAAAATACATACCATTGCTTATCTTATAACTATTTGGTTAAAACATGATGATAAAGCATAAGCATTACCACTCAGGAAGGAATATAGCTGTTTTTTTGTGAAACATTTATTTGTGCCATTTTAGAGCATGTCATATGATGCAGCAAATCCTGTTTGCAAGTGCAAACCACAAAACTAGTTGCTGCAGAATGCTTCTGCTAATCTAACACACAATGTGTGCCAAGACCCTGCCGGAAAAACAAATTATTTTGTATTTTGTATCAAAGATACATTAGTTGTTTTTCAGAAAATACCAAAATGTTCCTCAAGATAAATTGTGACATCAAGTTGCATTAGAGATAAAATACACATAACCGTTCATCAACATAACAGGTACAGTATTGCACGTTTATAAACCTCTTAAGTAAATATTCTGAAAAAAATATAAACACAACATGTAAAGTGTTGGTCCCATGTTCCATGAGCTCAAATAAAAAATCCCAGAAATGTTCCATAATAAAAGGCCACTCTAAAATGTGCAGTTTTGTCACACAACACAATGCCACAGATGTCTCAGGTTTTGAGGGAGGGTGCAATTGGCATGCTGACTGCACCAGTGTCAACCAGAGCTGTTGCCAGATAATTTCATTTTAATTTCTCTACCATAAACTGGCCCGCCCATGGTTGCACCCTTGCCCAGTCATGTGAAATTCATAAATTAGGGCCTAATTTATTTATTTTAATTCACTGATTTCCTTATATGAACTGTAACTCAGTAACATTTTTGAAATTGTTGCATGTTGCGTTTATATTTTTGTTCAGTATATCTCCCGCAGAAACAGAAATTCAGGCAACAGAAACAGAATAGAAATAGAAAACATGTAAATCACAAGTATCAAAGTTAGCCCCCCAATCCACCAAGAGCTCCATTCTGACTTGAGATACACATAAAGCCCCAACAACACACAAAACCTAGTGTTGAAGGCAGTGTAAGATTTGCACCCAAGTTCATATTCATATTAGACAAGCAGTAAAAAGACTGTCCTAGGTAGCCATGGAAACTGTACAAATTTCAAAAGGTGAGGATTGGAAAATAGATCAATTCCATTTGAACTCGCTAGCTTCAAACATGGACAGAAATGTTGATAAAGTATGCATCCCAAATGGCACCATATTCCCTTTATAAGGCACTACAAAGAGAAGGCACTACAAAGAGAATAGAGTGCCATTTGGGACTCATTTTGGGACCTAAGGAAAATGAATAGGTAGCAACTCCCAGGTCAAAAGATTATCGTCAGGTCTTGTGGTTAGGTGTAGAAAGAGAACAAAAACAAAGGATATATTGTCCAGCAATGTCAGATACAAAAAGATAGCATGTAAGGTTTCTCCCAATTCAGTAGTTTCACTGCAACTGTGCAAGCATGACCTTAAAAGCACTGAGTAGCATTTAGTACTGTTACTGTACGTGTAAATAGAAAATATCAGGTATCATTCAAGTTTTACTATTAAATGGATTGTTCCCTTTGTCAATCATACTAGTATCATACTAACTTCAAATGATGGACATCTGATAACTAAAGCTAGATTACATTCAGTAAATTCATATTAAGTTCATCTTTCATATTTATAAAATGCCTTAAGGTGAGGCAGGAAAGGCACCAAGTCCTTCTTTTAGATAAAATACATTCCTTAAAAACATTCCCTGTAGCTACATGTATAGTAGCTAGCTCCTTGGCTGCTTGCTATTGTGACTACAATCTTGCCAGCATCTGATCTTATAAGAGCACAAAAACAGCTATAATCGTCTTACAACTCTACAGTATGTAGTGCTGAGCGATTAGTGCTTTTTGAGATTGGTTTGGTTTTGGTTCGATTAATAAAAAATAATCACGGTTTTCGATTTCTGTTTAGATCATTTCTTTAGACAGTAAATGCACTATGTGGGTTGAATTCTGTTACACAGAATAAAACAATTAATAAAGTTCCATGATGGTAGTGACTGCCCATGACTGCTTATCGCTTATTAACCATAATTTAATTACATTACTTTAATAAAATATTTCAGTTGTGTATATTATATTTAGTTTATTTGATTACTTTATTATTTCATTCCAAGTCATCATCTCATCTCTATAGAGCTGCTGCCTATGCTGTCTGACAAAATCACAATTTTAGTAGTTCTTCAAAGTAAATAAGATGTACATTTTATGACTGATGAATACAAACTAGGTCATTTAGATCATTTATTTTCAGGTAGAGATACCTCTCGATCGCGCGATCTTCTGTCTCTTCTCTCCGTCTGTGTCTGCCCCACACAGACTGGAAGTAGGCACGCAATGGATTATGGTCATTGTAGTTAATTA